GCAGAAGCCAGCACGCCCAGCCTCTGCAGTTCTGTGAGTGAGAGCCCTAACAGAGGATCCCTGAGGAACAGACTGGGGCAGAAAGAAAAAGATGAAGACGGAAAAGGCCAGTGAGGACCATAGCTGCTTCTTTTCTCGGCCCCACTGAGAAATCGCTAGCATTACTCACAGGACATGGACAGGACAGGCGACAGAGCTAAGTTCCCAGAGCTTTACATACTTGACCTCATCTAACCTTTGCCTAACCTGCGTTTGACAGAAAAGACAAAGCTGAAGGCCAAAAATTAAAGTGCCTTACCCAACGTCATTCGGCTGCAAGTGGCAAATCCAGGATTCCGACCTCAGTCCCTTTGACGTCAGAGACCTGCTTCTGATTCTCAAGGGCTGGGAAGTGGCAACAGGGCTTCAATCTTTCCCTCCCCAGTGAACTACTCAAAATCTAGGTTCGTCCTGATGTAAAAGCCACGGCAGTGCCAGCCTAGGAGTCCTGGGGCTGCTGGGACTGAGCCACCCTAGAAAGGCACTGCTGGGCAGACACATCTCCCCCAATGAGGAAGGCAGCAGGAAGCCCAGGAAGGTTCTCTCTGCTGAATCTCAGTGTTTTAGGGGGGCAGGAAGGTCTTGTCAGAAATCTTAACAGTTCCTTAGTCTGGTTTCCCAAAGAAGAATGAATCTTGAGCAATGACTAGAATTTATTCATGGGCTCTCAGACCAGAGTCACAAAATCTATCAGGGTGCTCTGGGAAGTGGCTGAATAGTAAAGGGGATAAATAAAGCTAATAACCTTTTATTCACATATTATGTGAGTTATATTTGTTCCTTCCAAAGCCCTTGTACCCCCACTCCCATGTGGGGGCCACAGGGCAATGCTCCTGTGTCACCTAGTTTATGCCGCCTCTACTCTTCCTCCTTCTCTAGACATTTCTATCCAAGTGCAGCTCCTGGGCTGTGGGCTCCTGGAGGACAGGACTGAGCCTGATCCCACGTCAGAGGCCCTGTGCTTGGCTGCCAACCTTCATAGACATTTCATAAATGAATCCATGCGGTAAGGAAATCCTGGAAGAGCAAAGGCTTTGGGGGTGGTCTCCGGGAAAATTTTCCCTCCAGGGCCCAGCCTTCTAGAGACAAAGAACTAGAGGAGTGTCCGTTACGGTGCATCTTGGACACAAAGCCTCTTCACCTGATGTCCACAGATGGGCCTCATGGATCTCAAGTCCCTTAATACTTTAATGTGGAACTTGGGGAGCCTGTACAAAAGTAGATTTCCCTGAGAAAAAGACCCAGAGCAGACACTGCAGATTGAGTGACTTGTGGGTGGGAGGTGAGGACAGATGTGAGAGGGACAACAAAGACCTAGTGGGTCCTGGGGTGGAGGGTGGCAGTAAGGTTTGTAGAGGCTGTAAACCAGGCTGTCCCTGGGCACCACAGCTGCAGAGCTGACCCGACGGCACATGTCAGTCCTCTCCAGCCTTCTTTGGTTCCAAAGGGAGAAGCAAGCCCGGTACTTCACTGCATTATCAGAGGCTGGGCCTGAGCTTCCCCCAGGTGAGAAAAACCCCACTGCCCTCGCTGGCAGCTGTTCACACCATTTTGAGCACTGTCTATTTAACTCACCCCTTCGTCCCTGTGCAGAAAAAGGTAGACTGGGGAAGCCTGATCTACAACTGTCCTTACTTTTTCCTTAATTACACAGATCCATTTTCTGTTGCTACCACGCCTGTCCTTCTCACAGAACCATAGATCTAATAGGGTTTCATCCCTTGAAAGCCACTGTGATGGTTCCTACGCCCTGCTGTCCTCAAGGTGTTGGTAACTGACTGTTTGATTCAATATTTTTCCAAACTACCACTTATGCTTATGACTTTGTAACTTCCAACCACCATCCCTTTGTTTGAAAAGGTTATAAGCTGGCCCTCAGCTATCTTTCTAGTCTTGCATGTTTTTCTCAAACGGCAGTCTTTGGCCCTGCAGTGACCACTTCTTTGTTAAAGACATTTTAGAATCTGTCATTAAGACCTGAGGTTGTTTTTATTATTTTCTCCATAATTATGGCTTTAAAATCTTCTCCAATTTTAAATTGCTTTTGCATTTTTGAAGTCATACTAGAATCAAGATTATACACACATAGTGTACATACATGTACACATGTGTGTGATTGTACATTAGTAACCAGTTTTCTGTTATGTAAACTGAATATCATATACCTCTTGCCCTTATGACAATGGCTTTTACCTCTTTACCTTTATTAATTGCCTTTTATGAACATGAAAATATAATTTATTGTGGAGGTTTTAGAAAGTAAAGAAAAATATAATGAAGTAAAATAATAATAGATCTCTTGCTCCCAAACCCTTAATGTGTAATGTAATGTATAGGGGAAAAGATATATGAGGAACCCCTTGATGAACTGCAAAGCACTCCAGCAATGGTTATCACTTTGTTTGTTCCTGCCTCTGTTAACGTCTTTCACTGAAAACCTTCCTTTCTCAAATTTGGTATATTTTCAGTTTTCCTTATAGCTCTTTACTTTATTCTATGTTTGATCAGTTCATGGCAACTTTCCCCAAGGTTCACTTTAAACTCTAAATCCTCAATTAATTGGTTCCTTCTTTGTGGACATCATCTGCATTTTTTTGATGCTAAGAACATATTCTCTATATATTCCAGATATATGTCACCTCATGGCCAGATTTTCCTCTCTTGCCAGACATGATTTGATGAGACAATGAAAGAAGTTGATGCTAGTCTTATCTGGAAGCCTCCAGATCGGTAACAACCGCATGGGCCACATGGGGATTACTGAGCACCACCCTTCCACCCCCCAAACCTGTACCAATTGGAGTTACTACCAGCTGGGCAGAGGGGCAGTCATCACAATGAATACTTGCAGAATGCTCATTCTGTAACAAGGACTCTGTTCAAAGTGAAATAACTCACTTCATTCTCACAACAATTCTAAGAAGCCAAAAACTGTCAAGACCTCACATTACAGAGAAGGAATCTGGACTCAGAGAAGTGAAGACATTTTCTCAATAAACCAGTGAGCACCAGAACATAAGCACTGGCCATCTGAGTCCCGAGTTCCTGCTCTCAACTTCTGTTTCCCACACCTGCCACTGTGTTATACTGTGATAAAAAGATGGAGGAGGTAGTAGCAAGGAAAACTTAAAGAGCCCAAAGGTGACAGCAAGCAGCTCAGAAGTACCCATGCTAGAAATACAACCCGTTTTATCCTATGCATAACTCAACAATAATTATATTAGTAATATTCTTATGCATTTCTGGAAGACTCTCCTGGGTATCACCCATCGCTAATGAATCTGTCAAAAACACAAGGTCCACACATATTCCTGCAGATCCAGGTCCTAACCACCCTTCAGATACTACTGGGTACCTCTTCTCACTCTCTACTCTCATATGTAGAACTAAGCACATTCTGTTCCTTCCAAGCCTCTGACCCTAAGTCACCCATAAACATTTACTACAGAGCTGTACAGCAACGAGCTGAAGACTATGAGCTCCAGCCAGGCTGCTGGGCTCAAATCCTGGCTCTGCCCCTGACGCTGTCAGTTTTTAACTTCTTTGAGTCTGCGTAACGTTATCTGTAAAATGCAGGTAATAGTTCTACACACATGCCTCCTAGAGTGGCTGAAGGGTTGAATTCGGGGATGTATGTGGAGCACTGAGTGCTGGGATGTAAGGGCTCACAACACACACCAGCAGCCACTTACCAAATAACCAGCACTCAGCATGGCACATACAGGGTCACAAGGCGAAAGCTGTTTCCACCCTTGAGACATTCACATGAATGAGTCGGAGACTCCCACGGTGCCCTACATCTGGACGGGGGCTCTGGAGCAGGGAGAGGATAGTGATCCCAGTCCATGGGGACCAGAAGACCTGGAGCAGGGGGTCCCTGAGCTGGACCGTAAAGGTTGACTAGGTGTGACCCACAGGAGGGGAGGGAAGGCACTGCAGACAGAGCTAGAGGCCTGGAGGTAGGGTACAACTACCTTCCACATTATCCTTTTCCCCGGCCTCTGTGCCCATTTCTGTCTCTCCGCTCCTCGGATCATGTAAAGATAAAAGATAAGCCCAGGAAAGAATAGTGCCATACATAAAGCTAGAAAGATTAGTCATGCTCTCCTTTCTGACAAGTATTTACCTAGTTTTCTAGATAGACAGACACTGTGGGAAAGAACCTGGGAATGAGACACAGACTCAGGATTAAAAACCTCGGGTCACTATGACTAGGTGCCGCACGGTGTTCAGAATGCCCATTGCTTTGCCACTACTGCCTGTCTTCCCGTTAAATATGTTCCAGTCTCCCGTCTTCTGGGAGCGGTTGTGCTGTACCGAAGGCCTCAGAATATATTGAAAACCTGGAGCAGGCCAGAGTTATTAATAATAATATTCTATGTGTATATATTAAATTTATGGTTTGAGGGGAATTTTCACATTTCTCATCTGCTCTGCAACACGATTGCCTGTCCTAAAGACGTCGCTTTACAGAAGAAGAAGCAGATTCTGCGAGGTTGTACAACTGCTGGAAGCAGACAGAGCCAGGTGGGGTGGCTCGGAGGTGGGACCTGGTCTCCTGGCACCTAGGCCAGGGTTTCTGCCTTAATATCATGTTACTTCAAATGACTGAAAAGTAGTTTAAAATATGTATGGGGTAAAACTAAGGCACCAGAACCCTGCGAAGCACCAATAGACATTTTCTGTCTTGGTGGAAAAAATAAATAATCAGGAACTGAACTTTAATACTGTAAGTTTATTGTCTATTAAACTACACTCTGAGTTAATGGCTGATGCAGATGTCCTTTGTGAGATGCTTTTTTCTCTTTTTTGATACCGGGAACCAAACTCACAACCTCATGGTTGCCAGGCAGGCACTGTGCCGCTAAGCTCTACCCCGACCCCTGGATGATGCTGTTGAATTGAATTATGACACAAATAAGCAGTGCTCCTGACTGCCATTGTCTGGCCCTACCCATTAGCCTCCACTCCAGGAGCAGCTCACCAAAGGGGCTGAGTTAGAAATATAAGAAAATGGACAATCTTCAAAATGCCCAAGATTAAACGAACAGTGAGTAGATTGTTTCCTCTCAGAAAGCTGGAGTCTTCAAGTTCAAAAGTAAAGTGTATTTACAGAATGAACGGACTAGGCTAAGAATGCAATGCCCAAGCCTCAGCCATGTGCGAAGTAAGGGAGATGTGCACTGCTGATGCTGTGAATTCCTCACATTTCATCCTCATCGGAATTAAACTCGGGTTCAGAAATCAGCTGTTTTGTAGGAATCCACTTTTCCACTTTAAAACAACTTTGCCTTTTGCCAGGGGCAACACCCAGACAGCAGAAATCTAGAAAGTCATTTTAGCTAAAGTTTCATGTTGTTAATGAGCTCCTCTACATGCAGCCTGAACCTTTATCTGTTATCACATACAGGCAGCTCGCTATGATTTAAAGAGCCAAGGGTTGGATTTGAAAGGTATAATTTGGAAGCCTAGCTTGCTGCTTACAGCTGTGTAACCTTGAGCTCTCTAATCCTCACTCCAACAAACAGAATAATGTCAGCCTTGCACTGAGAATTAAACGAGATAACATGTGTTAACATAACCCAGAATATAATGGACACACCACTGGTGTCAACTGCCAACTCATAGCCCCATTTTAACAGAAAGCTGTGTCAAGCACAGGCAAGGTAACTATTATATTTGGACTAACAGCAATAATTCTTAACATCTTCCTTCCACCATTTATCTTTGAAACAACCTACAAATTTTGGCTACCTAATTTGAGAACCTTCTCATGCCTTTTGCTAATCTCTGTCTCAGTTGTGCAAATGCTGGTTCATCAATAAAACAAATTCCTTGCAATGGTTCCTGAAAGATCATTCAGTGAGTCTCAGTGCCAGCCTTGAATTTCATGTTGAAATGACAGCATCTTTGTAAATAGGTAAGCATGAAAAGCAGAGATTCGGGAGGTGCATAATCCTGATCCCATTTATTCGAGAAAGATAGAATAAAGAGGGTGGTGGGGGTGGGGTAATAGATGAAAAAGTCCTCCAGGGATTTGTCCCCAAAGCTCTCATGAGAAGTATGCTAGAAAGGGAAGAGAAAAGGAGAATGTGAACAAATGACTTGGAAGAGCTCATTTTTAGTTGGTGAGACTGAGCAAGATTTCATGGTGGAGTCTGCCTTAGAGATGTACCTTGAGGAAGGAACAGCATTGACGTGGAATTTGTTTTCAGTTTTGTTTTGTTTTTTGATTTTTTTTTTTTTGAAGTGGAATTTGAAGGGAAGGCGAACAGCACAATTAGTGATGAGAGAGAGAGTTTTTTAAAGAAATATCCACATTGAACACAAGGAGTGAAGCCTCACAATAAGGTCAAGCACCAGGAATGGGTACATTCACATTCTGTCAGGCAGGATCTGAAGATAATTTCATCCATTCAACTCTAGTAAATCTCACTCAGAGAATCAAGAGGTGCTTGAGAGGCAAGAAAATGGGTGTAAAAGATTATAAACATGGTGATTTTATCTTCAGGGCACATTGCACTCCCACCACCATCTTTATCAACTTTCAGCACTGTCTGAATGCTGACCATGACAGAAAGCATTTTCCTAAGCACTGAGGATGCAAAGTAACATAAAGCATCACTCTCATCCTCATGGGGAAAAAAATGACAAACTAATCAAGAAGTAAAAGTGATTTTTTTCACATACAAGCTCTATGAAAACCCATCCATCTTCAAAAATCCAAAAGGTAAACGCTGTCCTACCCAGGAAAGATCTTCCAAGACTGAGCACATGTATTTGGCCAGAGTAGAATTTTCTTACAATTCTTTTTCTTCTGTGAATTGAAGGAAAGACTGGGATACAGAGCTAAGCAAAATCATGTAAGGACTGAAATTTTCTCCAGCCTCCCTGAGACTCAGAAAAATCCTGGAATCTCTAACAAGGTGACAAGAGGAAGGACCACAACTCTGAAAACACCCATTCTGGCCCCACAGAGCTTACGTGTAGACCTGCTCTGCATGCGACAAATCCCAGAGCAAAAGCTGCAGAAGTTCTGTGATATGGCTACTCAGCTACCTAGGGCCAACCTGCAGAGACTTGGAAATGCAGAACGATGAGTACATTTCTTGGCTTTTACCTAAATATTTAGTGTCCACTGAACACCACTGAGAATCCAAACTACACTCAGAGCCCTTCCTCTCATCCCACTGGCCATTAGCAAATGTCCAAAGAAGAACAATCATTGTCTTTTTAAAAGAACACAGATCCATAAATCTGCAGGTTTTCTTTTTCTTGCCTCTGTACGTTTAGTTTCACATTTATTTTAGAACAAAGAAGAGACAAAACTAAAAAGAAAGGCTATGAGAAAACTATTAACCCAACCAGCCTAATAATCAGTGATTAAAGTTACAGTCAAAGAAGAGCGACATCTTCATGCCTCCTACCCTCTTCCTCCTCTTCATGCCTTTAATATTCCACTTCAGGCACTGAGAGGGAGGGTAGCGGGGCTACTGAATTCCAACCAGCACTAAGATAATTGCACCATTCACACCCCTCACCAGTCAATCCGGCTCTGCTTATCCAGCCCCATTTATTAATAGTTTTCCTACATTTACAGTGTTACAAAGGAGTGAAATGAGGCTTTCTCTCCCAAACAAGAAGTGGGGCACCTCAATAAAAACTAAGTACAGCTGGGGGTGTTTGCAGAAACCCAGGGTCACTTGCCCTATTTCACAGCCACACCTGTTTCAAGGAGGTCCAGGACAGTATGCTTCCTACACTTCCTGACATCCCTAACATTCAGTGTCAGCAGAGCTGAGGAGCCAAGTCAACACCTTGTTCTTGGCTCAACCACCTGTTCCCCTTCTTGCATGCACTGTGTAGACGAACTCCCTTCATGTTCCCATCTCGATGTTTGAGCTCTGGCATAAGGATCTCCTGCTAGTCTTACAACAGTGTAACCATGACAGGGTCTCCGTATAAATTTCAAAATGCTAAGACACACCATGTTTAGAGCTAATAGGTTCAGTTTTGGGTTTTTGTGGGTTTTTTCCCCTAGTGTTTCTCAAATGTGGCCACACTAGAATTTCTTGAGGAATCTTTTTTAAATGATCACTGTGTGGATCCTTCCCTGAAAGATTTTAACTTAACCACTGAGGCCTGAGCATGGGCCTATTACTGTTGTCTAGCTTTTTAAATTTGCTTTTGGTTAAGCTCTGCAGATGATTCTGTAATTGAACTGAGGGTGAGGAGCACTGCTTTAGACCGTCATCACTGTTACAATAATGAGGAAAGCTAAGACTCAGAGTCAAAGGTTTCCACATGGTCACAAAGTAAGTAGGACAAGCAGAACCAGATATAAGCTTCCACTGCCAGGACCACCACTTCTTCCAGTGCCAGGTAAATCACTGCTTAGTAACTAAAAACAGAGCAGTTTTAAAGACCCATTACTTACAAAGGGAGCACCTTGGACCCTGAAGATACGTAGGTAAGGGAAGGCCCAACACTGGCTCACTTAAGGGACATGCATTCCAAGGTGACCTGAGGGCCAGAGTAATTGGGGAAAAGCATGAAAACGAGAATCAGTAGACACGGAGATGTAGTTTTACCATAGGCACATGGCCTTAAACCACATAGATAATCTTAGGACTATTTTCAGTTTTAAAATGGTGGCTTGGGAGGGGGGATAAAATAATCTCCATGGTAACTGTCAGCCTTAACGCTTGTTATCCCACCATACACACACACACACAACATACACACGTCCTTTACTGTACCAAAATTATACATTCAATGAAATGCAATTATGTGAGCTACTATTTCTGGTAGGTGAATCACTGCTAACTTATTACATATACTTGAGTCTAGAGTGTATGGGTGTGTGTAGCATGTGCATATTTAAATACACACAGAACACACTGATCTCACCGAGTGTGGTGGTATCTGTGTGACTAGACCACGGCCTTAAAGACGTGAAGGATGCTTCTGAAAGTGTGGCCATTTTCTCGCAGGACAATTAGCTATGGGCAAAAGGATGACAGAGGTCACCTGCGCTTCCAGTTTCTTCCCTGATTCTCTTCCCCGCTCCACTGCCAATGTAGCTCTTTCAAACGGACATGGTGTTGTGAAGCCACCCCTCTCAACATACATGAGCTCTGATTTCCTAAGAAATTCTAAACAGCTGAAGCCATGAAAGGACCTATATAAAGATTAATGAGAACTTAAACTGGATATTCTTTTCTGAAGAAAGAAAATCAGTCCTGGTGAGGCAATGAGCACAGATATAAGCAGGCCAATATCCTGGTTTGCCTTGGGGGAGTTAATAGCTCAGGCGTGAACTAATAGGAACCTTCAAATGGCCTCATCTAAGAAGCTCCCTGTTTCTGGCTCTCCCTTCCTTAAAACACTGTGCTCAAAGGGAAGACATGGCCTATAGTTTATCTCTCTATCTAGGTCTGCAATTTGGCAGGTTCATTCTGGCCTCTCCTCCTCTCCCCTCTCCACTGGCCCCCAAGATATAGCCTTATCCTTGTGCCTCCGTGGCCCTACCCCTCAGGTCACCTTGGAATGTAAGTCCCTTAAAGAGCCAATGCTGAACATTTACTTACCCCCACGTCTGCAGGCTCAGGGTGCTCTCTGTATGTGCAATGGAGCTTTAAAAAACCTCCAGCTTGAGCTTAGATTCCTTTTGCTAACAAAGTGGGTACAGACCATAATGCACAGAGGAATGATGAAGCAGGAGAGAGAAAGGAAGAACGATGGGGAGCTAAAAGCGATGCAAAGAAAATCTAGGGGCACAGCTCTTCAAACCCACCTTCCCTTAGGCACGAATGTTACAGTTTAATCTAGGGACTGGAGGTGTCTCATCACCATCTCCATACCTGGGCATCCTCATAAGTAAAAACTTCTAAATTATCAAGCCACTCAAATAAGGCAACTGGAAAACATTTTGAGAATGAGCTGGGAATAACCGAGCACCTCTTCATCCATCACTCCTTTTTGCCGTTACAGAAAGCAGCTAGTGGCTGAATGGCACAGCAACCCTCCACCTCACTGCTCTGGAAACACATGGGACCAGACTGGTCCTTCATTCCAAGTAGCTTGGCCTGGGCTGGGATCCAGCTCGCTCCTTGCACACAAATCAACTAACAGCTGTCCCTTTCTTTGTAATGGCCATCAATAAAGTTAGTTGCAAACCAGTGGTCTAAAATGAAAACTGTATCATTTGCTTATTCTAAAGGCAAGTCTAATAATCAGGGCTAGGATTCTTAGCTATGGAATCACCAAAGCAGAAATCAGAGCTTCTTTGCTCCCCTTCTATGAAGACCCTGACTTTGTTCTCTGGCCTCATCATTTGGAATCTGAAATACCAATCAAAGAACCCGCACTATCCTGAGTGAGGGATACAGAAAAGAGGAAGAGGCTTGTCCTTCTACACCAACTTTCCTCTCCAAGATTCTGGGTCCTCGTAATAGGGCCTTTCTCTCCTCTCCTATTTATTCTTTAAGCCATAATTTAAATGTCAGCCCCTCTGTGAAGCCCTCCTCAACTCTCCTCAGCTTCTCTCCTTTTTACGTCCTTTTACCTGAGGATATGATGATCTCCCCATACATCTTCTCCCCTCTTGTTAGCAGCTACTAGAAGGCACAGAGCACAGCCAACTCTTTTTTGTAACCCAATGTTTGATGAATATTTGTTCTTTACAAATATTTATTAAATGAATATAGCAAAAGGCATAAAAATAGGTTAAAAGAATACAGTGTGAAAGATCAAGAGACTTTAATAAGGAAGTAAACTAAGAAGCAAGAGAACACAGAAAAATAAGAAAATGAGTTAAGTAGAAGTTCCAGAATACGAGAGCAACAGATAGAGAAGAAGCAAAAGATATACATAGGTAGAAGGAAAAAAAAGATGGGTAAGCTTAAACATATAGGTTCCCTTCTGATTTTTGTAAAGAGCAAAACAGAGGTGCTGGAAGTCCTAAAAGTAGAAAGCTGCAGAACGGCCAGCATTAACCACAGTATATCGCCAGGCGCAGGGATGGTGTAGATGCCTGATGTGTGGGACAGAATCTCTGGCGTTACCTGGTAGCTTATTAGAAATACAGCATTTTGGGCCCCACCCTGTTCTAGTGAATATGAACATGCATTTTAACAAGATCCCCAGATGATTTTTTATATAACAGAGTTTGAGAAGCACTGGTGTAGATATCTGAAATCAATAGATAACCTCCACCTTCATTCCAATCAACGTTATATTACACAAAGCACGGGCACTAAGGAGCCGCACAACATCAGGCACTTCTCTCATTGTCCCTGGGTCTCAGTTTTTCATCTATCAAATGAGAAGGTTGGGGTAGATGCCTTCTAAAGGATCACAGAGCTTGGAACTCTGGAGCTCACCTACCAGCACAATTCAACCTTCCCTGTACTCACCAGACAAAACAACATCATTAACTAACGAACATTTCACGTCCTCTGTTCACTCACTTCGTATTTTGTAAGTACCTGTTATGTACCAGTCACATAAGTGCTAAGGACAGTGCTAAGGACAAATGATTCGAAGATGAATAAAACATCTCCCCCTGCATTTGAGGAGCTCGTGAATTTCTTAGGGAAACAGTGAGCACCAATAAAATCAGTGCATTAAGAAGTACAAACCCATGCTGGAAGAATATAGAAGGCAGGGCAATCTCCCTGGTTGGGCCAGTCATGCAGAATTTCAGCAAGGAGATAATACACACAGGGTCCCCTTTCTGCCAACCTTGGCTGACAGTGCTAGAAAGTGAAAAGGTAAAAGTAAGATTGGGGGAGAGCATCAAGAAAACAACCAAGGGTCTAGAATACACCTCAGAGGTTCACAAGTTCATCCACTCAATGAATTTTGTGCAATGGTCACGTACATAAAATGAGCAGCCGCAGGTGGCCCTGGGAAACCCACTCCTCTGAGTTATGTGTGCTCCCTCTACTGACTACATTCTGTTCTTCCATCTTCCTCATCTTTCTGGGAGATAATATCAATTCAACCACTCTCCCTAGAGACTCTTCTTGTGGTTGAAAGTGGAGATGCCCTTTAATAAATGTGAACAATTCATTAGACCATTAACTCACTTGATCTATATTTATTTCCAGAGGAAGATTACCCTAGTGTCTAATCATGGGCACGGTAGCTGAAACTGAAAATATAGTTTATGGAAAGGAAGAAATTTCTAGAATTATTAAGGAGAGTGTAGAATGGCACTGAGGAAAAGAAAAAGCTTAAATTTTCTGACTTATCCACTCTTGACCCCATCAAGATGAGATGTTCTGTCACTGGAGATGAATGGTCCTATCAGCCCTGTCTTCGTTACTGAAAAGAGAGAGCAATCATTCAGATCAGCCATTTTCCTACCTGTACAATGGTGAAGTCAAGCCTGGTTTCCTTCTTTCCCTGGCTTCTACATACCAGTTTTGGGCTATAGTTTCGTCACATACAACTTGTCCTGTCTCCTGCCTCCTTTATTTCATAGTCCTTAAATGTCAATTTGGGACCACCTCGTTAATGTTGTAGTGGATATATCACTTTTGTTTGGTTCTTGAATAAGTAAAGGGGGCATTCACCCCCTGGAGTTCATCATAGGCATGGGGGAACTGGAAGAAGATTTTCCATCGGAATGATACGCCCATCAGCTATATCGGTTCAACTCTGTTTCTCCCTGTCAGACACCCCCACTCTACCAATCAGTTTCAGTCCCTGATCTTCTTTGCCGGTGGCCCCTGCCCCTCCTTCCAGGTGCCAGGCGAAGTGCAGATAGGCTACTGTCCACAAACACAGGGAAGGTTCTGCAGCTGTCTTTGGGAAGGTACAAATCAGAGCCCCTGCTGTTCATTCCTCCTCCAAAGAGCTCACCCTTTTCAATCAGCCTTTAAAAAGGGTACCTGGTGCGCAGAGAGGTGTCTAGAGGAATTTTTCTCTTTCCCCTCCTTTCCTGTCATTTTCTTTCTTTCTTTATCCTCTTCACCTGAAACTACACTTGTCAAAAAAAATCACATATATGCAATAGCAAAACAAGACCCCGCAGGCAAACAGGCTTCTGAAAACTGAACCAATGGGAGAGAGAAATTAAACAATTTATTAGCACACCCCGCACCCCTCCTGCCCAGGGGCACCTGTGCCTGCAAGGCCGCAGTGTTCTGTGTGCACAGACCCACCACACCTCACCACACCTGAGACACAGAGATAGAAGCTAACCACATGGTTCTGCTTCCCTTGAAGATCGCCCCTTTAGCATCTTTTGCCCTTTTTTCCTAGGAAGTCTTTAGTTCCTATTAATTTTTTAATTGCACACCACAGAGGCTCCTCAATGGAAATTAGATCTGCTCTTTCCCTACCAGCTGCCACATTACTTTCCCATGTATCCCATACTGTAAGGGGGTGGTAAGAGGCGAGAACACGAAATAGAACCGCGTCCGCTCTGTGTGTTGTGAGGGAGAAAGAGGGAGAGAACAACGAATGGTTCAGAGATGGCCCAGAATGTCACTGAGTCACAATCCTGTGGGCACTGCTGACAAGGATGGGGGACACCTGCCTCCTCATCAGGGTCTACAAACTGGCTTTGGATGTCAAAAAGGCACCGACCACCTGTGGCAATTCCTTCTCAAATCTCAAAGAGCCCGTTCCAGTTGGACCACCTTTCTTCATGGCTATCTCACTCCTCGTCCTTCTCATACCAGTATCCTCTGCTTTCAACAACTCCTCCTTTGCTTAGTCTTTGGGCCAACTAATGACAGCTTGGAAATGCAGGGATTACATTGAATTAACTTGGCTTAATCCCATTGACCCTCAGGACAAATGAGGTGAATGAGACCCTGTCCAAAGGCTGCCTTGCTGACCTCAGGACCAACGAATCTTTTGAAGGCTCTATCTGGCGCAGAGCACTGTCACAGGCACCAGGCACATGAGAGGGGCCATGTGCCCTGTGGATGTTCATCTCTCTTTGTCCATCTGCATGTATGAAATCATTGCACGAGGAGCTGCCTCTCCCACCCATTCCTCTGTTCTATTTTCAAGTGAAATTCAGAGTTCATCCTCCCACTTGAAGAAGTAGAAGCAGATGGGGAGCCAGCTCAGGTGTCTGTAAGGTGAGCACACACCAGATAACCTCAGCTATTTGTAGACATGGTGATAACATGGTTCAAATCGGGATCCCCCACTCTCTTGCTCTGATGACACTGTGGTTACAGATTAATGTTTCAGCAATAAAAGCTCAAAAGAATGAAACCTAGGGAGAAGGACCTTGAATTTGGATGACATCCATCCATTCTGGACAATAAAGAGCTATCATCTACTGGCGTGTTGAGTGACAAGGATTTTCCAACACTTCCTCCATACCATTTAATATCCTGGGACTGTTTCAAAAAATTTTAATTTTTTAAATGCCAGGAAAAAAAAGCATTCTATGGGAAAAGGGAATACTTTGAGAAAGATTACTGATGCTAATGATTTCTCTATGTATTTTTGAAGACCTTTATCTTAACCTAATCCCTGCATTTCAGTGCCTTCAGAGTTTGGGGTTTATGGTCAGTTGAACAAGAAGAGGAGCAGTTCACTCATTATCACGGTTCTCCAGCCTGTAGATGATCTGATTTTTCTCAGAGTTGCCTCGGATTGCCTGAGTGACTAGCAGAAGAGTCATTTGTGAGTCTTTTCCATTTCTACAGCTCTTTTTCTTTGTAAGTACATTAAAATGTGTGCTTCACCACACTTCACACAGTGTAAAAACTCCTGAGAGGGGGGAAATTAAAGTATTAATTCTAGTTTTGAGGGTACAAGACTCACACATGCAAACGGCACATCTCTTTGTTTAACACAAAGACTCACGTGTCGGATTCTGCACCCCTTCCACACGCACAGCATTTCAGAACTCTGCAAGATAGCCATTTTGCAAGAGTGTGGAAGTAACAGTTTGCTTGGAGGATGTGTGGGTATAAATAGATGTGTAGACAGAAGGAGAAATTTACAGCTTAAAAATAATAGCACACAGGAAAAAAAAATACAAATTAAAAGCAGAAAACTGGCAGAATTCCTTCCTTCCAAGCTTAAGGTTTAAGTCCTCCTAACCTGCAGCATCCTTCGATTCCAGGTGTTCTCAGATCAGCCCCATTCCCTATATACACCTGCCCCTCCGCAATAGGCCTCCCGGGATCTCTGGGCCCAGTGTCAACCCTTTAGACAGCAAGTAGATTTGGGGGCAACAACCACAGTGATCTCGATCATTATTTTTATTTTTTAAAAGACCCAGGGATGCCTAGAAAGGTAGGCACAGAAAATAGAGAGAGAGGCACAAAGACAGCAAGAGAGAAAATCAAGCCTGGAAAAAAAAAATAATTCTAGAGCCCATAAAAAATCATAGCTTTAGCTCTGGGTGAATAAAATGCTATTTAACTAGAAAATCACACAGGTCTCCCCGCTAGCTGTGTCTGTATATAGACACCCTTATGCCCCCCAACGTCTCCTGTGCCTGCATACACCCACCCCCACTGCTCCCCCGAAAACCCAAAACCTGTTTGATGGAAGATGAGAAAGAAATAACATGGGAGGTTTCCCTCATTGTAATAAGCCTTTTTCCCCAGACAGCATTATTTTGATATCTTGTTATCTTTTTCCCCAAAAAGATCCACTTGAGGCACTGGAAGAGACAAAACAAGAAATCCCTACACCAGCTGAGGAAAACAGAAAATAGAATTTGCCCTACCTTGGTTTGTAGAAGCCAAACCTCTAGACCGACAGATTAAGGGAGTGAGCATGTTGGGAATGTCCAGTGCCCTCTTCTCGCTTGCATATCCACATAAGAAAGACGGAGGATAAAGGAACGGAAGAGAATTTAAAATCCAATTTAGCGTAAATTTGGTTTTAATCTTGTGTCTTGAAGAGATGCAAATTCAAAATAAAAAGGATTTAATTCAAAGGTAATTCAGGGTATGGAGAGCGGCTCACAATGCAGAATCCAGAGTAATTATTCCGTTTGCATGTGAGGTCAGTGGCTGGTACGGTATAGATTATAAGGATTCTTCAGCAATTATGGTTTTTGATTTTTGGAGCTTTAGTGGAGGAGGCTCTCTGTGGAGAAGCTGGGGGCCGGCTCCGTCCCTCCGTGGAGCATGGTCATTCCCAAAGCGTCCCCTTCCTAAGGGGAAAAAAGAGGCGGTCAGGGTTTGGTTCCAGTGTCCCCCGGAGGGTGAGAAAAATGCATTCCGAAAAAGATATCAATTCGTTATATGGGGAAGGGGGAGGAAACCCCGCATTTCCCACAGAGTGCACGAGAGGAATTGCAAACAGCTGGCACCAGTCTATAAATAATTCAGAAAAGGTCTGGCTATACCATTCCTGGGACAGGCATGGATGAGAGGTGGGAAAACCAACCTGAAAGGAAGAGGAGAAAGGGAGGGAGCGAGCAAAGGAGGCAAATGGAAAGGAAGGAGGGAGGGGCGGTGGGAAAAGAGACACCACACAGCAGCACACACACACACACACACACACACACACACACACACACACACAAGCAGAAACACAATCCCCACTTAACTCGCCAGCAAGTGCGGCCCCCAGCCCCATCTGCATTGCTGCTGACATGTCTGTCTCGCTCTGCCCAGCGCCTCCAGCAGCGGCGCCTCCTCCCACCTTGGGCTCGTGCTGAATGGGTTCCAATTGTGCACGGGGTGCACACTGGGCATTTCTTGGAAGGGGCACACTGACACGCGCGCGCACACACACGCCCCCGACGCGCACGCGCCCCCGCGCGCACTCACACTCACCCCCGCGCACACTCACCCCCGCGCACACTCACGCCGCCGCTGCCGCTGCCGCCGCCGCCGCGCTGATGTGCAGCGCACGGGGCTTCACCTGCAACGTGTCGATTGGACGGATGGTCGCCGCGCGTGGCTCCGGCCCCAGGCACCGCTGCCCAGCCTCTCCGAGAGGTGAGGGGATCAACCCCCTCCAAAAGACCAAAGCCAGCCCTGCCCCCGCCCCCCAAAGCCTTAAGAACAAAAAGCCACATCCAAATTAGCAAGTGCCGCGTTCTGCTGGATTTAGCGCTTTACCCAACGCCAGGTTGGTTAACGGTTCCACTGCTTCGACCCTTTCTCTGCTTGACCACCCCAAACCCCAAAATCGAGAAGAGACACTCCACAGCAAGGATTTACGCACCGGCTCTGAGCGCCTCCGCGGGTGCAGAGTCTCCGGAGAGCGGTGGCCGGTGGTGGGGGGATCGAGGGCTTTCTTTTTCTGCAAAGCAGGATTAATGATCCGTCTCGGGGGTTTTGAAGTTCACGACTCTTCTTTGCAAAGCAAAAGGAAAATGCATTCGGACGCCAGCACTTCTGGGTTGCGGTGATCGAGAATCACCCAGACGAGCACTTTCGATAGAGCGGAGCGGATTTCCTAGAGGTGAAGAAGCCGAAGGAAGTGGTTTTTGCAAGGGGGTTGGGGGGAGCCTTCCTTTCTCAAGAAAGGGGGGGTGTGGAGAGGCAGGAGCCCAGATTCCAGTTGGTGTTGCTCGGAGCCGGGGGAGGGGAAGCGGGCGGGGGCAGCGGGAGAGGAAGAAGGGGAGGAGGGGAGAGTAAGAAAAATGGGTATTAATCACCGGCGACGGGGGAGGGCGGGGACAGCACAGGTTGCCTGGTCTGGATTTGGGTCTCACACCCAGAAATGTGCCACACACACACACACACACACACACACACGCGCTCCCCTACCTCTCACGCGCGGGTTGTGATGGGAGGAGAAACCTGCGAAGCCAGGGAAGATGCTTCTGCTCCCAGAGTGTGTGCGCGCGTGTGCCCTCTTTCTCCACACCCCCACCCCTTCCCACCCCCAAACCCCTGCACCCCCTCACTCCTATCGTTGAGACTCTGGCGGAGGCAGCTTCCCACGTCATGTGCCGGGGAAGTGGGGTAGGAAGGGGGGGAAAGGCTTAACCCGTGTCCGTGGCGCCTCCTCCCGGCCGCAGGAGGGAACAGCAGGGAGGGAGGGCTGCTGGGGTCGCGGCGCCAGACGCGCCCCGGGTGGGCGACCGCGCTTGGCTACGGACCGCATCTCCGAGACGGAGCTGCAGTTTGGAATTGAAGACCTTTGCTTTATTTTCCATAAATCAGTCTGCTTCGTCCCCGCATTCTGTGTGCTGGGCGCAGATGAAGGATGATGGGTTCTTGCCTTCAAGAAGCTTAAGATCTATTTTTGAGCATACCAGGCTGACCAATAACACAATAGAAAATAAGGCAAGGGAAGGGTAATTAAAGGCTACACTGTACAGTATGGGCTATACATGTGCTTTTCCGACTAGCAGTGATGCTTGGAGGAGTTTGGCTCCTTAAAAAAGTGGACCTTGTTATTTAAAGATCTTGACAAGATGATGAGACAAGTGAACGTCTCCCGTAGGATACTAAATTTCACAGCATTGACAAACCCACACTCTAAAGGGCAGACATCCATGCCCTTCTTTCCTTCGTTTACTGTTTTATCATCACCTGTAATGGTATTTATTTTTAATATTAGTATTGTCATATGTGCATCATTTTTATTCTCATCCATTTTCTTCTCAAAGACCCAGAAGATGTAAGTGGTAGAGCACTTTCATATTGGTTATGTCATGGGCTTCTCACCAATAGCCTTGGGAAGCAGCAGACACACAGGAAACGATGGTGTGTCAAGTGGTCACACCTAATAGCTCGGCACTTTGTCTTCTGCAAAAGACACCAGGTGTTGCACTGTCCTGTAGACCAGATAGCATTCGTAACACATCTGAACGAATTAGTTTATATTTCTTGGTTATTGTTAGGCTTCTTCTTGGAATCCAAGATTTTTAAGACACACACAAACACGTATCATTACAAAAACAGTGTCTCCCCGAGCAAATTATTCTTCTTCGGTAGAAGTACCTCTGTTTTCCTAAGATATGCCAGCGCTGGTCTTCTAGCCCTTTGGAGAACTGCAGGACCATCCACCATTGCTATGCCTCTCCATACGCAACAGCCAGCTCACATCCGTCCATGCGCAGATTTCCAGTCCAAGCATCAGAACACAGGTTTCAGGAGGATTATTGATGCAGGTACAGGACCCTCCTGAAACTCTCTTCTCTTTCTAGGTCTTCCAGAAATGGCTTTTACCTTCCAAATAAGATCCAAACCCACTGAAGCACCCTCATGGGTTGATCTTTAATCTACATTTCTCAATTGTATTTTAGTTTTTTATATAGCCCTCCTGTCACCAATCCCACTCACTGAAATTGTATAGTATTCTTCTTTGTTTTCTGTTCTTTTCCTCCTTGTTCATTTTTGCAAGTGTAAGGGCAAGAATGAACTCTCCCATTTCCACTACCTAATCAGGTCCCTCCTCTTCTTGGTATAGTTTTTAGTCTGCAGTGATAGTACATCTGCATTGATAATACATTTGTCATTGATAATCAAGGCTGTGTTGATTTCTTTAACACTTTCAACGATTTTGAAATGAGAGGTGGTACCTCACTAACATACTCTCCAGAAATACATAGAAGAGTTGGTTTGATCAGCTATCACAATGACTAGGAGATACTTCTTGTATGCATTATTCAGGTATCAGACATACTAAACATACCCAGTTGGACATTTGGCCTTCCATTATGAAGAACTGGCCCAGCAAAAGAAAAATTAATACTTCTTTAGCTAGTCATGTTAACCCATATGAAACTATTGATGACTCAATCACTTGAGATTGCTAATCATATGGAATAATCATTATTGACCTATAGTGAAAAGGCAATTTTATATACAGTTCACCTTAAAAATTGTATTCTTACATATATGTTTCCTGTCCTGCCAAATCATTATCTTCTTAGTAGAAGGGTTCAATAAATATTAATATTTTCCTGATTACTGTTTGAAACCACCACTTTCCTGGGCAGTTTTTCTGACTCTAGGATAGCTAATTCCAGGGACCATGCCGCTTGTGATGTGTAAAGTGATACTCTTCCTTCTCATTGTGTTCACTGCCTTTGGCCCATTCGGTCAGTCCAAGACCTCTTTTCTTAGTTCTCTGACTCTCTGTCACTCACTTCTGCACTTCTAACAAACCACCTTGGCAACCACGAGTTACAAACCTTTCCATTAAACTATTTTAAGGACCATCCAGACTCACAAAATTTGGAACACTATTTCTTGATGCTACAAATAATACATTTCCTAACTCCTAGTCAGGCAGCACAGAAAGCAATGTTCTAACAAGACAAGATGTTGGATTATAGTTCACAGCATTGTTTATTGAGGAATGAGGAAAAGCTCTTGCCTGAGGCTGCTAATGACACAGTTGGAGGTATTCTGCCAGCTCGCTTGACCCAAAGAGAGGATCCCAGGAGATGCAAACATTTGTCCTTTGCCCAGTCGGCAGAGGCAGAATCCTTGCAGAGGCCAGAAAAAATAAAAAGTATTATCTGACAACCCCTTTCAGATCAAACACATAGCAAAGGGTAGGGAGGGCCTAAAGCTTGTACAATTTGGGATGCCTCTTTAAGAAAATGAATCTTAAAATAGGTGTGAAAGTAAATACTTAAATGAGAAAATAAATCATAACAGTTTAAACATTCTTTACTACTCATAAATGCAAAAAAAACAAAAATTTAAATCACAATTTTACTATTTAACTGCCTAACATTTGTGTAATATTTGTTTTGCACGTTTTTAAACTACAGATCTTTGAACACCTCTTCATGTGTTCATTTAAAGTATCAATTTCTCTGATAGTAATAGAAAGAATTAAAAAAGAAATCCAGTCTGTGCTTCAACAGGGCTGTTTAGGGTGGCTTTGCAGTGTACACAATTCGGAATAAAGTCTTAGTCATTGGTAGTGTGCATTGATAGTAATGCAACGTACATTTTTTGGGTTGTTCTCAAATTTGGGGAAATCCTTATCAAATTTCTTTTAAATAGAAGCAATAAGGTTACAGGAGTTTTAGGTTTACTTGTACAGTGACAAACTTCAAATGACTCCTGAGCTGATGACACTTATTAACTAGTCTCTATGTACTATCCATTTCACATTGTCTTCATCAATATCAGTATTGTGTCTCAAATCAGCCAGAAATTTAAACTTTTCCCTGTGTGTTCCTACGATTCATTCCTGTTCATTAGTTAAATTAGCAAACAGTTCAGGAGCCTTTTCATTACTTCTATTCGAAATTTCTCTTTTTTTCTTGAAAAGATAGTTTTGGTGTGATCTGGGGAAACAATTCACTCCTTGACATCAGATTAATTTCTATTGATGTCAGTACCCATCTTTATCTCTCTTGTTTCACAGTTCATTAATTTTCATCTGAATTTTCTCTTGATATTTTTAATAAATAAATGTAGATAATAAAAGAAAGAGCTCTTCTAATGTGTCCCAAGCAACAGTTTGTAATTTCTCACTTGTTTTATTAAAATGTTGCAAACTGTCTTTCTAGACTGCAGTTGAAACGGCACCATCTTTATAAACTTTTTAAATAAAATTTTTCTTCTCTGTGTTCAGATTTCTTTTTCTAGCCTAGGAAAATTTTTAGAAACTCGATGTGGATGGGCCTGTGTTGCAGGACTTGAGCGACATTCTAATGGGAAAAAAATTATACTTAGCTTCTTAAAAGAAAATTCTAACTTGTCATGTGTGTCTAAAATACTCTATTTGTGAACAGATCTGAAAGTGAAAACAAATGCTACAAAATACCAAAGAGGCCAACAACTTCAGGTAAGGAAATGACAGGTTTTTTTTTCTCCTAAAAATAAGGAGAAGACCCAGAAAGCCCCAGTCCTGTGGCAATCCCTTTGAGTCATACCTGGAAGCTTTCCTTCACTGGGAGAGTTAATGATACTTTAACTCTCTAGGGAACAGACACCAAACCTCATAAACATATCTCACTAAGCCCAAATTAAAGGATTCCCAATTTTACATCCCCTTCAATTCAACTTTGTCTCAAAAATACTCACCACCACTCTGACAACATCCAGTAAAAGATACAGTAATCTTAAATGATTGCAATTAAAATATGGCACTTGTACAAATTTCACTAAAACATTTGGACACATTATTAGGCCCTCTTGCGTAACTTTAGAAGAGGCTCCAAGTGAGGGGCTGTGAATCTGAAGCTGCGTTAGCTTCAAAGTCAGTCTGCCTCAGCTTGTTACCCAATGGAAAGCAGGCTTCTGGATTCTACAGAAAATATTCGAATGATTTTTATCTTTGAAAAAATAATTCATTAAAGGTTCAGTTGACAGCATGCATATTAATGTCTTCTGCAAGCCAAATCCATCCTCTTTTGCTTGCAATTCCTGGAGTGTACAGGAAACACGAGCAGAGAATGCAATTTTAATGCCTCTCACAAGCATACTAAGATCATGCCTCCACCACCATTGCTCTTCTAAAAGAATCTCTATTTTGTTCTTATCACAATGATATTAATTATTCAACTCAGGCTGTCTTTTTTCAAAGGGATAGTTAAACAACCTTCAGCCCCTTATCTGAAGACCTGCTTGTCCTGCAATAGTGAACAATTATTAATTATCCAGTACATTTGATTGAGCTTGTTGTGTACTTGGGACAAAACACTTCTAGACATTTACACTGTGTAGTCAGAGGAACTCCTTTCCTAAATGTGTCCTGTTCTTTTTGAAAGTATGCAAGGGAGTGCAGAAGGGAGGAATAAATAAGATTGTTTCAGAGAGAATGATGGAATCTAGGAAGGAGGAGATACAGGACGTGATGTGATAGTAAGTGTTCTCTCTTCTAGAGAAAGGGAAGGATGTGCATGGTGTTATTTCTAGCATCGCTCAACTT